TGAGTATGAGGCTCTGCCGGAGGCTCCTCCTCAGACTCAGGAGGTTGGAATTTCTGGTTTGGCTCCTCCCTCCTCTCCTCAACACGTGGCCGAGCCTTTTGCTGACGAGGTTCAAAGGGAAGCTGATGCATTGCTCGTCCACCCTGAGGACGAAGAAGTGGCAAATTTGAATGAAGACCCCAAGGGTCTCGATGCTGATGGTCGACGGAACGTCCATGACCAAAAATTTGGCCATGATATTCCGTGCTGCTCAATCTATGCCAATGGTAACGGGAAAGGTAATTTTCCCGTTAGGATATGTTGCAGACCCATTGAATCAAGATACCGGGTAGGGTACCGGAGTCAGGTGCTTGGTATTCAACTTTAGTTGGTCATAAGCCTCTCGGAAGAGGATATTTGCGCCACTTCCGCCGTCGACGAGAGTTAGCCATACGTTGTGGTTTACGATCCCTGTGACGATTACTAGCGGGTCATCATGGGGGTATGCCACCCCCTGGAAGTCTTTGGCTGTGAACGTAAAGTTCGGCACCGAAGACTGGGGTACCCGGATATCAGCATGGTTCACTTGATGGGTCAAGCCCCTCAGGTGGCGTTTTCGCGATTTTTGAGAGCTCGTTCTTCCGGAAATGAGAAGGATGTCGGGATTGTCTTTGTCCTGCAGCTTGTCTTTTTTCCGGGGGAAATCCAGTTCTTGCCGAGAATCTTTCTCGGCTTTTTTCTCTTCGCGGCGATCCGCGAGATATTTTTTTCAAGTAACCTTTTCGGACCATATCCTCGATCTGATCCCTTAGCTGGATACAGTCCTTGGTGTGATGTCCAGGAGATTCATGGAATTCACACCTTCGGTCCTTGTTTTTTCTGCCGATGCCACGATGGAAGTGGCCTCGGCTTCTTGTACTTCTGCTCGTCCTTCGGTACGCTATAGATCTTAGCACGTGGAAGGGCGAGAGGAGTATATGATTCGTATTTCCCCATGAATGGGGTTTTTTCTTTCTTCAGCTCAGGAGCCGAGGGCGGTTCTAACGCTTTCGCCTTCCCTTTCCTCTGGCTCTGGCTTTCGGACTGTTGTCCCTTTGTCTTCCCAACCCCGTATTGAGACTGGGATTTGGTTTTGTTCCATTCGTCGGCTCGGATGTATGTATCCGAAGCATCCAGAGCTTCCTCCAAGGTCTGCAGAGGATGCATGACCATGAAGTCAAGGAACTTTCTAGCTTGCAGCCCGTTTTGCAGTGCGAAAACGGCTAGCCCTTATTCTAGACTTGTAATTCTGGACTACTAGTTGCTGAAGCGAGTCAGATAGTCTCGGAGGCTCTTGTCCTCCCCTTGCTGCAAACTCATCAGTTCTGCAGTCGTCTTCTCTCGGCGGTTGGCCGTAGAAAATTTGCTCTTGAACTTGTTGGAAAGGTCTTTCCAACCAGTTATCAAGCCCTCCTTTACTCCCTTGGTGATCCACGCTTGTGCAACACCTTTGAGAGTGGTCGAGAAATATTTGCACCAGGTCGCTTCGGACCTGGGATTCAGATACATGTGCCCCTCGTAAGAGGCAATGTGGTCCTTCGGATCCGAAGTACCGTCATAAGTTATGTGTGCTGGGATTTTCATCGTCGGCACATGCTCTTCAAAAACCAGCTTTGGAAGGGTGAACTGGTGGGAACCATCACGACCTTTCCCCTATGTCTAGCCGACGGGACCTCGCTCCTCCCTCCTCAGAGAGGTTAAAATGGTTTTCGTCCTCGGCTAGGACGATTCGGGACAAGGCTCTGTTCCCTTGGGGTAGGTGAGGCGACTGTGCACGCTCACCTCCCTTGAGCCCAGACGTTCGTGAACGTTTCGGCGAGCAGGATCTTGCTACGCGGAGGTGGTGTTGCTGCTTTTGTAGCTCCGAGAGTTTTGGGTTTCGGAACTTTCGAAGAATTAAGGGTTCTTTTTCCTCTCCCGTTCGGTCCTCCAGATGTCCTCCTCCCATTTGTCCCCGAGCTTCTTGAAGGATGGAGCTTGTCCACTTTCCTCTTGGCTGGTCCTCCTTTTCAGGTTTCTTGGCGGAAGAGGCGAGTGGTCACGGGGTGGTGGAAAGTTGCCTCCTTGGGTCTTCATGAGGTCCATGAAGACCGCGACGGCTCGTGCCACTTCCTCCGTAGTGGGACCCGTTTGAGGAGTTATTCTCGGCTGAGACCGAGAATGGAGACTTCGAGGGGGACTCTTAGCATTGGACTGACTCGGCCGATATGAGCTAGTCGGCTGGCAAGTATGATGGGATGGTGACCTCTCCGGCGTTGCCCTTTCCGGGGAAGAGGGAGCTTTTGAAGAAGAAGAAAAGGTTCCGGTGATGGTGGAGCAAGTGTATTCCTCCTCACCTAAATTGGACCTTTCCTTGAAGAGGAAGGATCGTTCTTTTTAGCACTCTTATCGCTCTTAGTCATTTTTTTTTTGCTAAGATTGGTTGATTCTTGGCTTATTTTTGAATGTCATCCCCACAGACGGCGCCAAATTATTTCGGGTAAAAATAATTGGACCTTCAGCTAGGTCCTTTTCTGTGGGTTGAAGACTGATCTCGCTCCAAGTGATGACTAGGCCGAGGGTTTCCTGCACGCAAACACACGTAAACTGGCCTTGGGGGTTGTGCCGAGGAAGGCCCCTTCGATGCCCAAGTCAATACAGTGTTTAGAGAGAGAAAGCTATGCAAGAGTATTAATTGCTTGAAGCTTGAATTGAATGACTGTAGAGAGAGAAGGTTGAGGGCTTTTATACCTTTGCTTAATAGATAAATCGACCTTAAATCAAGTGGGCTTACCATGTTGACTGGGGCTTAACTTACTTGACAATTATTTGGAGAGTTGAACCTTGCTTTGGGCTTTGTAATTAAATCGTCTATGGACCGGCCCTATCGAAGTAAATTGGACCCAAACAACAAGTATGGCAACCAAAGAGAATACTCTTGGCATATGGGGCCTATATATTTGGCAACAAATAGGATATAACAAAATTGTAAATATCAACATCTATATGAAGTACCATTCAATAAGTAATAGTATCATTAAGTGGTGTAATGATATAAATCTTTTTCTAATGTTACAACTAAATATGTAAATGATATATCAAATATTATATCACTATGAGATGTAATAGTTCCAAAGACAACCTATACTGTGATGGTATTACATACATGCATAATAATATAATATTACACAAAAAAACATCACTGCAATCTAAAAAAAAAAGCTCTTTTAAATGTCAAATTACTATGCAAAGAAATAAATGGAGTATAAGTATTGATTTATTGGAACATGTAGCCCTGATTATATGTTAAAATCTACCTATATGTAGGAAAAAGTTTTTGAAATTTATTAGATTTAATTAGTACTTATTGAAATTTATTGGAACATGTTTGAACTTATTGAAACTAAATTTATTTTTGTATGTAAGATTAAGAGAATGTAAAATTATTAGTGTGCATCACAAAATTAGTAAAGATAATATTTATTTTTTGTGTAGAATAGTAAATGCACGATTAGTCCATTGCCCTTTTTTTTCATTATTTTATATTGGAGTGCTCCTCTAATTATTTTGTTTATTTTATTTTCTTTTTACATAATTATCAATTTATTGATTTAAGCATCAAGATCTTAAACTACAAGTTGGCCATGTTCAACAAAATGTGTTTTTTCTCCCTTTATTTATTTATTTTTATATTTTTTATTTTTTATAAAAGAGAGCCACAAGGATGATTGATGAGAATCGATCACAAGATCTCTTGAAAATGGAAGAGGTAGTTGATGGTCGTTGTAGTAGTTGTTAGTTGTGAGAGTAATTGTTAGCTGTTAACAAGTTGTTAGCTATAAAGACAAATAATTTAGTACTATGTATGACTCTTTGGTAAAGTAGAGGTTAACTAGTTGTTACATTTAAATATACAGGAAAAATACAACAAAAAGAAAAAAAAAATTAATGTAAAAAAGGAAACGTTTTTTATCCTTGATATAATATACCATTACATTAACAAACTTTTGCAATTTCTTTTATAAATTAATTTGTACACATAACTTAAAAAGGTTTTTTTGACAAGGTTATAATCAAAAGTACTTTTTTAGAGAAAAAGCTTGAAATTACTTCGTATTTATGAACTCAAAAAATTGGTAATATATCTAGTAATTTGTATGAAATTTTAAAAAATTATTATGAAATGTTCAAAAACATATACTCTCTCTATTTTTTAATGTTTGTTCTATCTGCTTTTTGCATAGTTTAATATACAATGTTATTACTAATACATCTCATTACTAATACATCTCAAGTTACATATTACAAAAACACAAATCATAAAAATTGCATATTTGGAAACTTAAAATCGAGACAAATCTAACAAGATCCCACATGACTATGTTTTATAAAATAAAACAGATATTAAATTATAAGATTATACTAGTATTAAAATCTCCTAATATTTCGATTGTGACAAATAAAAAACAGAGAGAATATTTAAATTTTAATAGTTAAATTGTTCAAAAACTTAATTATATGAAATGCCTAGTTTCTTGAATCCATCTCATCATCATGAACGGGATTTAAACAATTTCGAACAAGATCTTTTTCATTAGAGGATTCAAAGCCCTTTTTTTTTTTTTTTTGGAAGTAATCCCTTATGTCAAATAACTCATATGTGGACAATAAGAAGTTTGGCACAATCAATCTTCGATAAGTTTTTGCTCGTTTTGTTTCCCCGCAGTTTTCTTTTTGTTTTATTGTCTCTAGGGCTTAGCCCCTCGTTTGCACACACATCAAAAAAAAAAAAAAAAACCTTCGATGACATGAAAATGTGATATGAATTTTACATTGGTTTCCTACAGTATAAAATGTTTATACAATAATTTAGAAAAATAAGAGAGTATCAGAGTATGTATGGTACAAGAAAATAAAAGTAGGATTAAATAAAAGATAGTGTAAATGGTATGTGAATGTAAGAGAAAATTTAATGAGACTGAATAGAATAATGTAAATATTGTGGGATAATAGGGATAAGATAATAAAAAAATATTACCAATGCAAATATGATTAAAAGAAAATATTAAGAACAATATGAAATAGATAAAAATAAGACGCTTAAAGATCATTATAAAACGGATGTAATAGCTGAAAGAAATCTTGACTTTCATGATCAAGAATCACGTGGTTTTAAGCAATAATAGAAAAATATGTGAACATAATAGGTGTATCGATCATTAAATTCTTCGCTATATATTGAGTGAGTTGTTGATCATTATTCTTCACTTTTACTTAAAAGCTCCCTCTAAAAAATATCAGTCGTCACACCTTAAAGAAGCCAACCAAATGGAGCCAAACGAAGACACAAAGCAACACATCAACAATGGCAAAGGGGGTTGGCTCAGCTCCTTCCTAGTCCTTGGTCTTTCTCTCTCTCTCTCTCTCTTAACATTTTATCTTATTATGTTTGATAGTTTTATATTATATGTTCAATACATATTCTTATCAAACTTGTCTTTAATTTAGAATTATTCCATGTTTAATGATTATGTTTGCTCATCCAATTATTTATATAATCTCTATGTTAGTTTTAAAAACTCTAATCTATATATTCTCGACAATTTTTTCATATACAAGTACATAATTATGATTGTACAGAAGAGTACACTCAATCTATTCTCATATTACAAAGTATTGAGTGAATACGGACCACCGTAATTCCACTCACCGAATTACGAGAATACAAAAATATTTCAAAAACTGATATATATAGTTCTTAGGGTTACATATAAGCATTAAATACACTCTAGAAAATTGTTTAAATTTAGAAAATCATGACAAAAACACACTAATTACACTGATTTACGCGTATTTTTGTCATGAGTTTCTAATTTTACACAATTTTTAACAGTGTAGTTAATGCTTATATGTAGTCCTTTAGCATTACCCTAATTTTAATGATGAAATTTTCAAATACTTTTTCAAAATATCCAAAAACTTATGCGGAGTATTTAAATTTCAAAAATTGAGATGTACAAAGACTTACAAGCAATGTCTAATAACTTACTTTGTATCACTATGAGTCGAGATTTATACACTACTTTCTCGTTTCATATTGCTAATTTATCCGGAATTAGAATGAACAAATTACAAATAAGCGAAATCGCCTAATTTTGTAGTTCTAATTCTTCTCCTTTTCCTATTACAATTCTACAATTTTTTTTTTTTTTTGGTCAATGGTACAAAACATAATATATTTTAGATTAAAATAATTAACAAGCTCTTACTTTTTAGCAAACCAAACTAAACAAAATATATAGTTTAGTATATATTTTAGTTTATAGTATAAAGTTTAGTTTGTTTTATAGTTTAGTTTATAGTACTTCAAGAAAAGTAGTACAAAACTAAACAAAATAATAAACTAAAATATATAGTTTAGTTTATATTGTAATTATAAAAAATAGTTTTAGTTTATAAAATATAATATTGCAATTTATAGTACTTCAATAATATATATATGTAATTAAAATATATAGTTTAGTTTATATTGTAATATAAACTAAACTAAACCAAACTAAACAAACTAAGTAGTAAACTAGTAATGTTGCAATTTTAAAGAGAGAATAATGTAAGTACAATTCAAGAAAATTATAATATTGTAATTCATTTTTTAAATCAACCAAAACTAATTATCTCCCAAATTTCATCATTCTAGCTGCAAATTATAAATGCCCTCGTACCGACAAAATGTGATGTTATTTTTATCCCTCACCTATGGTTCTCTGTCTTCCTCATCTTTTAAATATATAATAAATCAAATCAAGTCAAATTTGTTCATTTTTATTATTAAAATGATGATCAAATCAAATTTAATTTACTTTTAAAAGCAATCACAAATGTGTCCAATATTATTCAACCTAAGTGACTTTTAAACAACTATTTTGTTTGTTGAGTAAGGCACGTGATTGGAACAAGGCCATGTTGGTTCTTATAGGAAACAACCAATACAAAGGTATGTATTGTTTTTCAGGAACTTGTTGCTCGTATAGCTAGACTTGAAGGTAATTGAATATTATTTTATCTTGCTGTTTATATGGGATTAGAGTTGTACCACATGGATGTCATGGATGTCTTTTGTATAACTTTCTGTTATAGATGTCTATGTGGAACATACTCTAGGATAGATTGTTATCCAAGTTCCTTCTTGAAAATCGAGCTTTAAAATTGTCAATTTTTGTTTTCAAGATGGACTAATGTATTAGTTGTACTTATTTACATTAATTATATTTTTGGTACAACTAACGAGCCATTGTGCATTGGTTTTTGATGATTCTATGATGAGAAAATATATTTGTAAGCATTAACCATTGACAATGGAACTTAAGTTAGAAGTGGAAGTTCATATTAGATTTGAGATCATCAAGGGAACAAAACAACCACTTCAAGAACTCCAAGGTAAGCCATCATATCAACCAAAAGTTTTAAAAGTCATATTTTTACTGGTCTAAGACTACATGAGATATAAGTTCCTGTTCATCACATGACGGCATTAGATGAATTGAATTGATATATTTTTGGTATGAATGCAATATGTGAATTTATGAATTGATTAACTTATGGTTCTATCTTAACTTGTCATATTCTTGTATATTGCTTAATGGAACAAGACTTGATGGAACATAACATGAGTATAAAGTATTTTTCCCTTAATTTATGCCAAGTTGGGGTTCTTATGCATGTTAAACTTGAAGTAAAGAATGTACGCTTATTGTTTATGTGTCACACTTAGTTCTTGTGCTGTAAAAGACATACTCACTTGCCTAAGAGTATTAGAGGTCTCATAATAGAACTATGGGTGCTGTCAAAGACGAAGTTCCTAAGTTGCCAAAGGAACAATGGAAGAAACTTTGATGGAACAAGACAAGTAAGTTCCCAGACCGTTTGTATCTCACCCGTTTAAATTTCAGAGGGAACTAACCTATCTATTAGCCAACTTTCAAGCATCCACACCATATTTCTTCGAATTCAACATTATTCAACAACTTTTAGTTGTGTGTCCGTGTTGCGCTATACTTATTTCATATTTTCATATATTCTGAATTCTATTGACCCTATTTCCTTATCTTTTCATATAGCCATACTTCTTATTCTTAATTCCCATGTGCTCTAAGTTTGTTCATCATATTTTTATGGTTCAATGAAACGTGAAGAAAGTGATTACATGTTGAGGGGGAAGTTGAAGAAAAAGAAAAGAAGTAAGCACTTGAAAAGGAAGAAGAATGGTAAGGAACTCAGGGGGAATAAGGTAGGAACCAAGAAATCAAATTGGTTCATATTTGGTTGTGGAAATCAAGTGTATGAGTAAGTATTTTCTTCATTGATTTAAAATGTGTTATTCTAGGAAAGCATGCAAAATCTTTGTAATGACACCCTATGTTAAAAAAATAAAAAAAAAATAAAAAAAAAAAAAAAGAAAAGAAAAGAAGAATAAGGGTGATCCAATATTTAATTTCCTAGATATCTAAATATGAAGAATATTGACTATGTTGATGTCGTGTACTCGTATACTTGGTAAGCTAGCTAGTGAAGGGGTAATATTAAACGTTGAAGGAACTTGACTATGAAGCTGAAATCTGTTTAAGTTCCAGTAAGTAGAATGTTTCTCAAAGAAGTTGGTAGTTGAAGTAATGGAACTTGGTTATCAATTAGCAAGATGAATATATGTTGTGTTTAGTAGGAGGTTCAAGAGTATGAAATGAAGAACAAATGTGGTGAACCTTATCATCTCAAAGGGTCTAAACAAAGAGCACAAATTCCACTTCATGTTCCCTCTACTTATTTTGTTCCATATGCTTCTTTATATATCCTTTGAGCTTGCGCTTTCATTTGCCTATTCATACAATCCATTTCTAACTTTTTAGCTTTGATCTTTACTTGATTTTTAACTTCTTATTTGTCAAGTTCAATTAAGGGTTTTTGAAATTGGGCCTTTGGATTGTGAGTTGGAAATTAGTGTGGAAATAGTATCCAGTTTGAAAAGTGAGTACCTTGAGGCTTTTAGGAACAACATGTGTTTAACCATAATATATTTACTTATTATATGGTGGTAGGTGTGACATATGACTTTATGTGTGTGTAATTTACGGAAAACAAACTTGTGGAACAATACCCTTTTTGATAAAGACAAAAGGGGGAAAAATATGTATGATGCTTATGGTATGTAGTAGTTAAGTCTAAAGTTCTTACAACATGATCTTTGAAAGTATATATATTGATAAGGATGTGTATTGCTAAGTTTCTAACTATGTGAAGTTCCTGTGTATGTTCCTAACTTGTTCTAAATATTATTTCCTTGAAGAACTAAGGGGGAATAAATGTACAACGATTTATCCTTTAATGTGTGATAAGCATCATTAGTTTGTCATCATCAAAAAGGGGGAAATTGTTGAGTAATTAGGTTTTGATGATTGTAAACTAATGATGGTTATCTATCTAATGTGTTTGTTAAGTTGTGCATAGAAAGAACAAGTTATACTTGGAACAGGATACAAGGAACCTGAGCAGTCACATATATATATAAGGAACCTGAGCAATATATGATAAGCAATAGAGAAACAAGAACAATGATGAGTGTTATGGTTGATAAACACGATGATGGCTAAAGAACCATGAAGGTAACTATGTAAATAGGTATTTGCATATGTTAGCTTCATAAGGTAAGTACACTATGCATACATGAGTTGTATATGTGTAGGAGTATTTACATAAGCTTTAAGTTTAATTAGTTCTCTCACTTGAAGTTTGTTTATGACAAACAAACTTCAATCTAATGTTTCTCTTAAGTGTTTATGTGAAGACAAGAACTGACTTAGGTGAAGTCAATGGGTTGGAACATAGAAGAATTCAAGAGGAATAAGAGAGAATGAATGAACCTAAAGCAGGTTCTCCCATGAGAACCAAACCACGAAGGAACCTGAAGGTATTCTCTAACAAGATCCAGAAGGAACTTTCGGCAGGCTTTCCCACGAAAGCCGGAGCATGTTCCCTAACAGGTACATGAAGAGTTCCATGTTCCCTAACAGGTACATGAAGAGTTTCCTAACAGGAACTTAGTTCTCTAACAAGAACTATCTAAGTTCCCTAACGGGAACTTGCCCCGAGATCTAGAATACACCAATACTACAAGATTCCAGAACAAGAGTTTCAAAGAAACAACATGAAGATGGAGAAATTGAAGTATATCGCTCTAGGATTCATGTAAGTATGTTGGATATAAAATTCAGTCTGGAACAAGTCTAAAGAACCAAGGTGAACTCATGATAGTCAATGAAATTAGAGTTACTGACTTGTCAGGAACTCAGAGACTGTCAGAGTTCCGAAACCTAATCGGAACTTAGGTCTGCACGTCGTTAAAGGTCGCAGGTCGAATTTAATGATATAAATATTTACCTAATACGTACATATCTTTTAGGGATTTGGTTTTACAGAATAAAAATATTTATTTTCTAATAAATCCCTTTTGGAAAAAGATAAGTTATTTTTGGAAAATATTTTCAGTAAAATAAGTTTTAAATAAAATCTAATTTTATGGCAAGTATATCTTTTGTTAAAAGATATGGTAATTATATCTTTTGTAAAAAGATATGGCAAGTATATCTTTTGTTAAAAAGATATGGTAAGTATATCTTTTGTTAAAAAGATATGGTAAGTATATCTTTTGTTAAAAGATATATTAGTATATTTGAAAAATATAAGATTTAGATAAAATCTGATTTTATGGTAAATATATATCATTATTATTGATAGAATATATTCTTAACAAAAGATATATTTTTGGAAAACTTATTTTCGGAAAATATCTTTTATTTCTATCTTTTAATAAAACTTATCTTTTATGAAAAGAATAATTTGGGTGTACTATAAATATGCTCATATGTATTCATTCAAAGTTGAGGCTGATGAAGCTTAGTGGTCGTGCTTAATGGTTTCATCCTTCACCACGAAGCTAAATCAAACCTCCAGGTCGAAGTTCCAGTTCCAGCTAATTATTAAGAAATAATAGTGGAAGTAGAAGAGAAGAGAAATAAAAAGTACTTGTATGTAAGAGTATACAACAATTGATCCTAAAAAAAATAATAATAAAATTGAACTGTATTTTATTATATATTTCAATATTAGACACGTACTGTATCGGACCAAAGACACCACCCAATCTTCAGATGAAAATAATATAATCATAATATTTCATTTTTGTAGTTACTTTTGAAAATCGGTTTGAGCCTTAATTGAATTATTAAAATTTCGACTTTTGGCCTTGTGCAATCTATTTTAATTTCAAACTAATGATCGATTAATGTACACCGCCACCTATATGTTACTCGTAAGAAAGAAAAGTTACAATTTTTTTCAACAAATTAATGCTATACTTAGGACTAAGAGATTATTTTACACATCAAATCAAATTAAAAGGTGAAAATTTAATTTAAGTCTAAATATTGTTGTTTTCAATTTTATAATCCTATAGGTTAGCATTATTATATAATATGAGTAACATAATAATATTGGTATATGATTGTAGGAACAAGCATGGGATTAGGTATAGCATCGGGAGCATGGGTTTGCAACTTGATTGTGTTTCTTATCAGTATTTTCAATGTGAAGAACATTGCTGCTGCCCAAATTAGCAACATCATTAGCGGTTTCGTCAGTCTTTTCCCATTCGTAACAGCTGTTCTAGCTGATTCTGCTTTTGGTGCTTTCTCGGTTACACTTGTTTCTAGTATTGTTTCTTTATTGGTAAGTAATTAGTCCTCCAAACCTAAATATGATTTGAATTAGGGGGTTTAGGTCTTGTTCGTATGATGAGTAAAGTTGATCGATCAAATTAAAATTGGTATTATAGACTTAAATTTTTTTTTAAAGGTAAGATGAAAGAACTTACTGAATCAACACCTCTCATAGATAAAGATGAATAGACTTTAGCTTCCATTTAGCTTGTTCTAAAACACAATTCATTGTCTTCTTTTACCATAACCAATTATTGTAGACACGTTAGTGAGTATAAAAAAGGGTGGATTAATAAGTGAAAATGTATAAGAAGGTGATTAATTTATAGACGATGTACGAAAATCTCTATAATATAAACGAAGGCAGGGGAGGTTGTGGTTGGTGTCCTACTAAAAATATTGTAATACTCTTCATAGCTTAATGTTTGCATTGTAAAAAATGAATTGACATGGATGATAAAATAAATATGTGATGATTACAATTGAAGTTAAAACAAACGGTCATTTCACCAAATACTACTGAGTACTTAAAAAATTAATCAAATGCCATCGCGTTTTTCAAAATTCACCAAATGCCACTGAGGTTTAATACAATATCACCAAATGCCATTTCCGTTAGTTGACCGTCAGTGTCCGTTAGTTGACCCCACCACTTGCCACGTGTCACCTTCTGATTGGTTTGTTTTTTAAAAGTAAATATTTAAACAAAAATTAAAAAAATACCAAAAATATTTAAAAATATTAAAAAAAATAATTAAAAAAAAAAAACCACCAAATCCCCACCCACCACCCCTTCTACCACCCTCACCGGTAGGCCGCCCACCCCACCCTAAGCCCCTCCCTGCCGCCGAAGACCAAAGCCCCTGCCGCCAGCGACCCGTACCGGCAGGCGTGCCGGGGACCCCGCCCCATCCTCATTACCTCTCCGTCATCTTTCCACCACCATTAAAACCCACGTTCAAGCTCGAAGGCAAGAACACAACATGCTCATTTTTTCACCATTTTCTACAAAATTATTATCAAAATGCTCACAATCAAGAATGCAATAACATGGGACAAACAATTTCATCAAACAAGCATCACACGAGAAAGCCCCAAATCGATTTTTCAAAGGGGGTTTTCGAATTTTTCACAAATTTGCATGAAATTCGACAATGAACCAAGGATTATACATGGAAATACTTACATTGCAATGAGAAGAAGAAATTACACACAAATTGCAAAGAAAACTAGCGGAATTTAGTTCGAGCCAAAAAACGAGCACCCACGAATCGAAAAGGGTTTCGGGTTGTGTGGGTGGGTGGCCGGAAACGAAAAGGGGAGGGGAATGGTGTTTTGGGTGGGGTGGCCGGAAATCGAAAAGGGAGAGGAAGGGGGGTAGGGTTTCGGGGTGGTGGAGGAAGGGGGGTGGGGTTTCGCGGGTTAGGGGTTTGGGCTAGGGTGGGTGGCGCGACGGGGAAAGGGGAGGGGAAGGGGAAGGGGTGGGGGTCCGCCGGCCGCCGGCGCGCCTTCTGGTGCCGGCTTCGGCGGCAAGGGATGGCTGGGCCGGTGGCTGCTGGGGTGGTGGCTGGGGTTTGAGTTTTTTTTTTTATTATTATTTTTTTTAAAAAAAAATATTTTTGGTTTTTTTTTGGCATTTTTTAAAATTTTTGTTTAAATATTTATTTTTTAAAAAACTAACCAATCAGAAGGTGACATGTGGCAAGTGGTAGGGTCAACTAACGGTCAACTAATGGACACTGACGGTCACTAACGGAAATGACATTTGGTGATATTGTACTAAACCTCAGTACCATTTGGTGAATTTTGAAAAACGCGATGACATTTGGTGAATTTTTTAAATACTCAGTGGCATTTGGTGAAATGACCGTAAAACAAATCAATCACAAATGACAAGCTAAAATTTGGCACTAATGTTTCAATAACTATAAAATTTTAATTAATATTTAATAAATTTGGAAGAATTTCTAATACTATGTACGAATATTTTAAATTTTTATTATAAAATTTGATAAAATAATGCAATTACATGAGATTTAAGCTAAAATTTATTTCCTATATAGAAGGTATGAACAATATAGAAGTGGGAGGATGTAAGGAACATACTATAAGAAGTTATTTAAGCCTTTGCAATTTTATAAATACCTATAGCTCAATTTTTGTTATTCTAACTTACAGGGAGTATTTATGTTTACCCTTATTGTTACTATCAAGTCCTTGAGGCCACCTCCATGCCCTCTTCACTCAACTTGTGTACCTCCAACAACCTTCCAGAATTCTTTTCTCTACATAACACTTATACTAGCATCACTTGGTCTTGGAGGATCGCGATTTTTACTTGGAACCATGGGGGCAGATCAGCTTGATAATCCTAAACATCAAGCAAGATTTTTCAATTGGTTTGTTTTCGTCATATATTTTAGTTGGATAATTGGGTACACTCTTCTTATATATATCCAAACAAGTGTGAGTTGGGCACTTTCCTTCTTCATTGCTCTTGCTGCGAATATGATTGCTGTTGCCCTCTTCTTGCCTGGATCACGAATCTATCGTAAAATTCCACCTCAAGGAAGTCCTTTCACTAGCATAGCAAGGGTTTTTGTTGCCGCCTTCAAAAATAAGAAAATGGTTGATGATGATTGTTATCTTCATGAAAATCAGCACTCAAAGTTGTCTTCTTATGAAAAGCCTAGTAAAAATCTCGGGTATGCATTTCCACTCTACTTGTTATTGTCCTTGATTCAATTATTAGTCTTCCAAAGTCAATTATTTACTTAATTACTCCACTTTTAGTTATAATGTCATGATCTTTGCACAATTTATATATTTCCTCTGATTTGTATTAATTACAACACTTTAACTTTTGCATTATTCATATCTTTATTTTGATTATATATTCTTTTTTAATAATATTTAAATAACATATGCTGCCATGTAAAATATTTTTGGATTAGTCTTTAAGTATATTTTCATTATATTAACCTTTTATATATACTTTTTAATAATATATAATCACAAATATTTTTGGTTAAATTTGTGCATTGATATATGTGTCAATTAAAGTGTTGCGATAATTATAAAACGGAGGGAGTATTAAACATTGACTAAATCTTAGTTTATACTCAAAGGTAAGCGAACTGATAGGGTAATGTGGGATCTTGTTAAATATTTTAAAAATTTTAAGTTATTAGATTTATTTATATATTGGCCGGTGTTAAATTCAAAATGTAACCACTAAAAACATTATAAGATAAAATTCATCAAATGCACATCTTATCACGGTCAAGTTTGGGATATAGACTATAGAGGGTATACTACCTAATGTAGTACTAATTGGTACAATATCATGACAATAATCAAATAAGTTTAAACTTTTAAACTTTGATGTTTTATGTTGTTAAAGGTTTTTAAATCGAGCAGCATTGATAAAACAAGGTGACAACGAGACAAGAGATACCATAAAAAAGTCATGGAGCCAATGCACAGTTGAAGAAGTAGAAGATCTGAAGAAGCTAATCAAAATTATGCCACTTTGGTCAAGTAGCATCTTTTTAAGCGTTGCAGTCGGAATTATCATGAGTTTCACAGTGCTTATGGCATTAGTCATGGATAGAAGTGTTACTTCTTATTATAAAATACCACCAGCAACTTTCGTAGTCGTCACCTTCGTACTCACGGCCATCACATCCTCAATGCTCGATCGATACATACTTCCGACATACAAGAAACTTACTGGTCGTCATTTGTCATTTTTAACATGTATCGGAGTTGGACATGCTTGCAACATTCTTGCCGTGATATCCTTTGCTTTAATTGAGAGAAGACGACATAAATTGATCGAAGCCTATCACTTGACGGACCAACAAAATGCCGTTGCACCACTATCGGCCTTATGGCTCATAATTCCATTAGTCATAACGGGAATTGGAGAAGGATTTTCCTTTTCTCCGGAGGTGGCATTGTACTATCAAGAATTTCCGAAGTCACTAAGAAGTACTTCGACATCTATGATATCGTTACATATAGCTGCTGGCTTTTACATTAGCTCGGCATTCATCAATTTGGTTGGTCGCACAACCTCTTGGTTGCCTAATGATATAAACCATGGTCGCGTTGATAAAGCATGTTGGGTACTTGCAATTGTAATAACGGTGAACTTTGCCTACTTCCTTGTATGTGCTAGATTGTACAAGTATAATAACCCTGATTCGACGTCAGACAATAGCAAAACTATGTCTAATTGATTGAGATAAGGGTTTCGCCTTAATGTAATGGCTTGCACTTGATTGTTGTAATGTCTCTTCTTCTTCATCATTCACTTAACTTTGTCCCTGTCAATTAATTCTTTGCTTTCATTGTTTTTTCCTTTCAGTATTTAGTAGTGGACATTTTTTTTTCTTCATTGTACATGCATGAACTTGATACTCTAGGTTTGGAAAATTTGTCAAAAACCTCCTTATAAAAGCACTTTTTTTTTTGCGAAGTCATACCTTAAGCCGGAAAAATGGGGTCTGACTTTGTTTTTCGGCATTGAACCACACCCATGAAATCGCCCCCTCCTCAGCCCCACCCACGAAACTGCCTCCCCTTCTCAGCCCCATCCACGAAATCGACCCCTCCTCCTTCCACATCCCGGCAAAATCGGTGTAACACCCTATAAATTCCTTTCCTTTAAATACCCATTTTTGCCCTTTTTAAAATACGAAAAAGGAAAATCTAATACATTACCGCCACCGTTAACACGGCTAAGGCAAATATCAAAGACTCACACACAGCTGAAGACTACTTTTAAAGCCATTTAAAAACAAGTCATCTTAAAAAGTCAAACCAAACGAAAGTAAAAGTCAAACTAAGTCAAACTACAACTTGGAACCATTGTAGGCCCTTAAAACCCAATCAATATTTAAAACCTTTGCGTTAGTCTCATGATCATAGTAAAATAAATAATATTCAAAGCAAATAAAACACATCATGCATATTCCTATGAGAACTAAGCATGATTCGCTCTTCACTCATGCTCTTCATGACTATGCTTCATCACCTGAAAAACTTCTTTCTACTTGTCCCCACTACTCGTCATTCGTCATTACAAATGGGTCGTCGTAGGGCCAAGGTAAAGACAAGGCCAAACAAACATACAAACACACTATCAGCAAAGCTGAGTACATAAGCGTAATAAACACACTAACATGCTTCCAACCTATCATCACACAACTTACCTCGTTGCCTCTATTTACAAGCATACAAGACATTCAACACCTAACTAGACCAACACCAATGTTCATTTAATTTTGGTTACACATCGAACGGGTTTCCAACCAAATCTCTGCCTCAAATAAATTGAATTAAACTACACCAGGAGCTAACCGGGTAGGCAAATGTCACATGAAGTGACTGAACGTCCTGCGCATAATAATAATAATAATAAAAAGGAAAATACAGCGTCCTATACTCCCAGTAGAAGTTATGGTCAAATATAAAGTCGCATAACTCCCCCCATATGTTCATACTCAAGGTATATACATTCCAAGAGTTTTGGTGTGTAATCTCTTTCACTATACGTTATTTACATATTATTAGACTCAGTGATGACTCTCAAACCATAACACAATCAAACATTATCATTCATTCAAGCAATCAAACATACCAATTTAATTCTTGAATAATTAGTGACCACATAAATTTAATAGTTGAACCCTTTTCTACCTCAGTGACCTTAAACGCATAATGCGTCGCAAATCCTATCCCTCAGTGTTAGAAACACCTTAAGTACATATAATCACCGCAATAAAATTTATTCATGTGTACTAAGACACTTATTAGCTCAATTCCCATGCTTAAAGCATCAATAAAAATTATATAAACCATAATAAAATTCCTTTTTAATATTCCAAACAAAATTAAACACTTAGTTTAATTAAACATACTCTCTATCATGCCAATAATAAAAGTGTGGTTCATATCCAACATGCCAATATAATTAATTTCAATCACCAGTTCGCCATAAATAATTCATACACCACAATTCAATCACCAACATTAATCCAAATCAACAATTCCAACCAACACCCATCATGATACTACTTGGATTTAATTACACAAAGCCTAGCATGCCTCTACATATTCAAATAGTTACTAAGTACGCGAACGTACCTTGAATATGATCTCAAAATCGCCACGGCTAAATAAAATCACTCACTTGAAAGTCTCCTACAAACCAAAATTATAAAGAAGTATTAATACCTCTTCCACACAAATTTTCAGCAATATTTACTCTCTTTAAATCACTCATAAACCTTCCAAAATAATCTGAAATTTTATTTAAAACCCTTACTTTTATTCCCAATTAATGGGTAATTAAAAATCCTTTCAAGAAACTTAATTATAGCTTATATATAAAAATTCCAGAATTGTTAAGACTTATAAAATTGCTGTAATTTAGTTTAAAAACATTAATATCAATAGTTTTAATCAACCACAATCAAATTCCATCAATAGACATCAATTTAGAAACCTAGGGTTTTCAATTTGGGGCTTTTTAATTTAAAAATTAAATCTGAAAATTAATATACAAAATACTTATTATTAAGCATCATAAAATCATCACAAAACCAAAAAACAATAATTAGATTAGGGGTGGATTGAATCAAAAACAAAAACAAAAATAATTTTTTTTTTCGGAAAATCGCAACACCGACACCACAGCCGGCTGCTACCGCGCCTGCTGGTGGTGCCGCTGCTCTCACCGGCGCCTTCTAGTGGCTGCGGCGGTGGTCCGGCGGTGTGTGGTGGTGGCTGGCAGCATGTGGTGGTGTGTGGGTGGTGATTAAAATAAAATAAATAAATAAAAGGGAAGGGAAAAAATTAAGGGGAAAAAAATTAAGAGGAGAGAGAGAGAATTTACCTTTGGGTGCACTCTATCTTAGGCATATGATGGGTATTTATACCCCCTCTCATTATCCCTCCTACTTAAAATTCCTTCACTACCCTTAACGATCCCTTTCCTAGTCAAACTAGTATTTTGACTTTCTTTAAATATCATTGACTTTAAAAATTATCTTTTTATAAAATAATATGCCCCAATTTTTAAATTATAAAACAAAATATTTTCAAGATTATTAAATAATTAAAAATAAACTTTTTAATTAAGATCATTCTTTTTAAATTACGAAAAACCCTAAATAATTCATTTCGAATTATTTAAATACTTTAAGAAATACTTATTTAAATTAAAATACGTATAAAAATACGGGGTATTACAATCGGGCTTTAGGGTGGTTCGAGTGTAAATTTAGGGTTTGTGGGTGGAGGAAGGGATGGGGGTTAGTTCGAGGTGGGGGAAAGGGAGAGGGTGTTCGGGGGTGGGGGAATACGGAGGGGGTGGGTAATTTGGGGTGGAGGAAAGGGACTGGGGGTAGGGAAAGGGGAGGAGTATGGTCTCGGGGTGAGGGTTGGGATGTCATGGTAGGGTTATCGACGCTGACAGTTGAGGGGAGAGGGGTGGTTGAGGCTGTAGAGGAGGCTACTATGAAAGGGGAGGGGATTTTGGGGAAGAGTGAGCGCTGACCACCGTGAAAGAAGTGGATTTAGGGTGGTCAACGCCGTGAAAGGGTGGTTTTGTGGGTGGGGTTGGGGAAGAGGGCGGTTTTGTGGGTGGAGTTGGGGTAACGTAGTTAACGCCGGAAAACAGGGTCAAACCTCATCTTCCGGCATGAGGTACGACTTTGCAAAAAAAAAAAAAAAAAATGTATTAAGGTATGACTTCACCAAAAAAAAAGAAAAAAAGAAATTATAAGCAGGTTTTTTTTGACAAAATTTCCTATTAGTGGTTAGATATTTAGGATATTGGTTTATAGGTTTCATTTGCACTATGTGTATTCATGGTCAATACAATCTTCCATAATCATTATTAGTGGTTAGAAATTTAGGATATTGGTTTATAGGCTCACAAGTAGACCTGATTATTGGACAGGGTAGTCCAATGATAATAGGGTCAGGGCCAAGCTTAATTATAGGACTTTTAATGGCAAGGTCTTTAATGGACTTATTGGTTAAGGTCAATATGGGGCCAAAATATTTCTCCAATTTAATACATAAAAAAATTAGATGATATAAAAAAAAATTACATAAACATTATCGTATTCATATGTACTTAAATACGATTTTGTCCAATATTTATTTTAATTGATATTTTGTTGCCCCGTCCATTATCTACCCGCATTGGCCCGACCCGCTATTGGCCCTATAAAATGTGACCCTCTTTGACCCGATTCACAATTGACCCGCACCGAGCCTGACCCAACCCGTCCAATAACTAGGTCTACTCACAATTATGAATTTATTACCCCTCCTATCTTAATTTGACCTAAAATTCTATTACTCGCTGCAAAGTGACACATTTTTTCATTTTGGAAACTTTTAAACTTTCTACATATTTTAATAATATCACTCTCCTACTTCCTCTGATTCTTTATAGTTGTAACACACACTTTATCATGGTATTTAAGAAAAGTGGACCTCAGATGATATAACACACTTATAATCAAGCGGGCCATAAGCCTTTTTTTTAAAAAAAAAAAGGAAAAGAAAAAGAAAAGTGGGCCATGAGCTTTGAATAAAGGTAATAGTACAATTTTCGTCATAAAATCTTTATTTATAGTATGTTGCAACTATTGTGACATTTTCATTTTAATAAAGTGTGTTGCAACTATTTACAAATAGATGAAGTAAAATTTGGTAGTCATTCTTAAACATTTACATATAAAAGGAAGAACTATATACTGAGATAATTTAAAACATTTTTCAACTTATTAATAGTGTCAAGATTACAAATGAGAGGAATCAATTAAGTAACATCTACTTTGGGATATAGAACCTTAGCTTTGGCAAAAAGTCAAAAAGGAAAGAGGCGAGATTTGGGCCTATCGTTGATTGTCTTTCGGTAATGGGCTCTTTTTTTTTTGCGTTGTATGCGGAATTACAATTTGATATCAATTGCATGATAATGGACCTTACTATTTCCAACTTGTAGGGTGCTACACTATATATCAAGTGCATCATTATTTATAATTAATTGCATGATTGAGGAAACATTCTACTTTGAGGCAAGGCATATTTACTACTTTGAAGGAATGGTGGAAATTAAAATTAATGGAATCGAATATAAATACTACTTTCCCCACATCATCCCATTTGTGCTTATAAAGATAGTGTGTAACCTATTCATGAAATGATTACTTTATCCATAACAGTGTGTACAATAATCATGGATTAATATATTTTACGCATAATATAACTATATATTATTTGTGTCTTTGATCATACTGCGTCATATATTGACATAGTGAGGTAAAATTTAATTAGATTAGTGTATGGTGTTGATTATTTTGTAAATTAAAATGTTTCCTATAAAACAAAAAAAATTAAAAACTATGAGCTACCGTCCTCCACTTCTTTTTTGTTGTCTTATTTAAAATCTTAATAGATTCCAAAGCAAATGCATGGAATCAGTGGTGAATCCAGGAAAAAATTTAATGGTATCAAAATGTATTTGATAAATTTAAATGGAGTTATTTGATAAATTATTTTTATTGGAAATTATTTTTGCTTTTATACATTTTTTATTTCATGTTCAAGTGGGTCAAGAAACTCCACTTGAAGACTGTGCATCGGCCACTGCATGAAATCTAATATTACTCTAATGAGAAATGTAAAAAGAAACACACTAATATGGGATCTTGATTAATTCATCTTGATATAAAGTTTCAAAATATTAACTACTATAATTTTTATAAACCATATATATATTCATAATGAAATACAAAAATTAAAGGTTACATATAAAAAGTAAGCAAGACACATTAAAAATAAAAACACGTAGAATGAATCATTATTAATTAAAAAAAAAAATGGGTAATGATATAAGCATCTAAAACAAAGAATAATACTATTTCATTCTTTGAGACATGCATGTGTTGGAAATATTTTTAATTAAGAAAATGACTATTATTGACTTTATGAATTACTTAATTACTCTATATATTGGACTAGTCTGAATTTATATTCTTCACTTATGTCGCATAAAAAAGATTCCTCCTAAATTTGCAGAGTTGCAAGTGAAAGCTAAGAAGGTAACCAAATGGAGTCAAATGGAGTCACAAAGCAACACATCAATAATGGCAAAGGGGGTTGGTTCAGTTCCTTCCTAATTTTAGGTCTCTTTCTCTCTCTTAGTCCTTTAAGTTCAAATGTTGGAAATTTTTTCATTGTTCTTCGCATGTAATACAGAAATTTCTCAATTATTTCATTCTTTTGCTGAACATTATTTAGACTTGTAAAATTTTATTATAATCAGTCGAGGACAATGTAGCAATAGTTTGATACAAAACACACTTTATATTTCTTAGCATGCACCTAGGAGGGAGCTCCATTCATATTATTTTTTGTTTGTCCTGTATGAACACTTCAATTTGAGGAGAAATTAACTTAACTTTGAAGTATATTTGATATGTTAGACAATAAATATATATACTTTATCTGTTTTCTTTTAATTTAATTGCAACACAACTTTTACGCACACAATTTTAGGACATGATTAGTAAAGGTAAATGAACGATTTTATCAAAATAATTTTAACACTAAGATTAGGAAAGGGTTAGGTACCATATGTAAGAATTATTTTAAATATGCTAAAGTGTGAACTTCCCAAACAACACATGTAAGCGTTTTACATTGATAAAAGAAGAGAGAATTAAACACTTTATAAGGCTAAGAGGATACTCCTCCTATAGCCATATGATTTTGGGATAGAACTACGGACTTCTTTTGTCTTGTGAAGTGGAGTTTCTCTTTTGGTTACGAGTGCGACTCAAATCCGTATTTAACAAAATAATTTATCCTTTTACATTATATAATGACCTCAAAGTGCATGCTTAGGTTGAGTTGCAAATAAATAAAAACGAGGAAGTATAAGATAACACATTTAATATTTATTAACATATATTGTGCTATCTGTTCCTCAAAAAAAAAAAAAAAAAAAAAAAAAAAAAAAAAAAAAAACCATATATTGTGCTATCTTTTATGAATGGAAAACAATCTTGGTAAAAATATTTTGTTCGCAAAGGTCTCTCGAATCAAAGTGTGAAAACTCAGATGTAATATTTTTTTCAACTTTACTACGTAAATATGGTTGTAGGAACAAACATGGGATTAAGCATAGCATCAGGAGCTTGGAGTTGCAACTTAATTGTGTTTCTTATTACTGTTTTCAATGTGAAGAGCATCGCTGCTGCCCAAATCAACAACATCATCAACGGTTTCACCACTCTTTGCCCATTCATTGCAGCCGTTTTTGCTGATTCGGCTTTTGGTGCTTTCTCTGTCTCATTTGTTTCTTCCATTATATCATTATTGGTAAGTAATAGGGAATCGATAATAGTGTAAAGACTTCAATTTTCAATCGAGTAAACATTTAAAATAATAAATTAAATACACTAATACGATGAAATGGTACACAAAGTGAGACAGAAGATATGAATGGAACTGTATAATAGAAATTAAATTACTACGTAGAATGTTCAATAATAACTCGATGTTTGTAATTTAAATTTACAGGGCGTACTTATATTTACCCTCATAGTTACTATCAAGTCAATGAGGCCACCTCCATGCGCACATAACTCAACTTGTTTACCTCCTACAACCTTTCAATATGCATTTCTCTATATATCTCTTATACTAGCATCGCTTGGAGTCGGAGGATCACGTTTCTTACTCGGAACCATGGGGGCAGATCAACTCGATAAGCCTAAACATCAAGCAATGTTTTTCAATTGGTTTGTCTTCACATTATATTTTAGTTGGATCATAGGGTACACCCTTCTAATTTATATCCAAACTAGTGTAAATTGGGCACTTTCCTTCTTCATTGCTCTTGCCGCGAATGTGATTGTTGTTGCCCTCTACTTAATCGGATCACGATTCTATCGTACATATCCACCTCAAGGAAGCCCTTTCACAAGCATAGCAAGGGTTATTGTCGCGGCCATGAGAAATAATACAAGAATAGTTGAAGAAAGTTGTTACCTCTATGAAAACGAGAACTCAAAATTGTCTCATGGACAGCCTAGTAAAAGTCTCAGGTACGTATTTACATCTTATTAAGTTTCTTGATTCAATTTGTAATTTGAAGGGTTACTAACTTATTTACTCCCTCTAATCCTTATTAACGCTCTTCTCAGTTTTAATGTACATGTTTGTCAATACATTACTTTGACTATAAAAAATCTGTTTTACATATCAAAAAAAAAATTATAGTATATATATAACATTTGAATGTTAATAAACTACTTATTAAAATGAATCCGATAAAACCCAACATGGATATGTTATGCTTTATATATATTGAGAGTAATTAAGAGTATTCTGTTTTGGTTGTCCCAATCTATATTGTTATATTAAGGTGGTTTATATTTTCTGTTTTGTTAAAGGTTTTTAAATCGAGCGGCATTAATAAAACAAGGTGACAACCGGGCAAGAGACACCATAACAAAATCATGGAGCCAATGCACAATGGAAGAAGTAGAAGACTTAAAGAAGCTTTTTAAATTAATGCCACTATGGTCAAGTAGCATGCTTCTAAGTGCTGCAATAGGAATTATTTTGAGCATCACGGTACTTATGGCATTAGTCATGGATAGAAGTGTTAATTCTCATTACAAAATTCCACCCGGAACTTTCGTAGTTGTCACCTTTGTATTCACGGCTATCACATCTCCAATTTTCGATCGATACATAACCCCTACGTACAAAAAACTCACTGGTCGTCGTTTGACATTTTTACAATGTATCGGAGTTGGACATGTTTGCAACATTCTTGCTACGATAACCTTTGCTCTAATTGAGAGAAGACGACTTAACTTAATCGAGGTCTACCACTTGAAGGACCAACAAAATGTCGTAGCACCACTATCGGCCTTATGGCTCATAATTCCATTAGTCATAACGGGAATTGGAGAAGGATTTTCCTTTTCTCCGGAGGTGGCGTTGTACTATCAAGAATTTCCGAAGTCACTAAGAAGTACTTCGACATCTATGATATCGTTGCATATAGCTGCTGGCTTTTACATTAGCTCGGCATTCATCAATTTGGTTGGTCGCACAACCTCTTGGTTGCCTAATGATATAAACCATGGAAGGGTTGATAAAGCATGTTGGACACTTGCAATTGTAATAACGGTGAACTTCGCTTACTTCCTTGTTTGTGCTAAATTGTACAAATATAATAATCCTAGTTCAGAATCAGATAATGGAAACACTATGACTATTTAAGCTTAAAGTTTTTTTTTTTTTTTTTAATTAATTTATTGAAATGGCTTGTAAATGTTTGCTGTAATGTCATTTTGAGGTTCGAATAATATTCCACTTTTTGACTAAAGTTTAATTTAGACTTTTCTTATAAACGTATTCTATTTTAAACTATTCACTCAATCCTTCATCACAAATTCTTATATATGACTGGTCACATTGTGTGGCCAAACATCACGAGATTACTTGGTCAGTATTATAGGGATTACTTTGTTAGTATTATAGGGGTTGCTTGGTCAATAGACTCAATCTTGTAGGGGTTACTTTGTTCTTTTATAAGGGCGACCAAATAGTGTGGCCAACCGCATACAAGATACATGGATCCTTCCTTTATCAATGATCATTCTCTAAAATTATACGAGCACATGTGAAGTAAAATAGGTATATTTAATAATATTGTTAAATTTGTTTTAAGATATATTTTAAAATATCTAACATTATTAACATTTAGTTTTGATGAATTAAATAATTTATAGTACAAGTTGTACATTAACGAACTTGATAATCAGATTGTACGAAATAAAAATAAGAGCTATGCTTAATAGCAGTTTAATTGTAATTTAAAATTGTTGTTGAAACAATAATAATTGAATTTAGTAGCACTCTTACATTACACGGGTACTAAAGTAAGTACTACCTCCATTTTTTTTAGTTGACACGTTTTGACTTTAGCATTCTCCACTCACTCCCCTTTGACCGTGTTTTGTGTTTTATACGTAATGAAAAATATAGTCATGTGGAATCTTGTTAGATTCATCACGATATATATTTTCAAAATATCAACTTTATATAAATTTTATTATCGGTAATTTAAGATATTAATGGTTGAAGTTGTGTATTGGCAAACGTGACAAAAGAAACGTGTCAACTAAAAAAACGGAGGAAGTATAAGAATAGGCTAGCCGGGGCTAATTTTGGAAGAATAATACTTATTTGTTTTATTTTAGTTGACACACTTTGACATTCGCCACGAAGCTATCCGTATAAGTTACTTTGACTTTATTTTGTGATTTATTCTTGAAAATATATAGTTGTGTGCGTCTGGTTTAACTTGTCTCAATGTCTATTTTTCGAATATTAAATTTTTTATAATTTTTGTTTGTACACTTGTACATAATTGAATATATAATTATTTGAATTATATATTGGCAAACATGTTTAAGAAAATTGTGTCAGCTATTGTAAAACACAAATTTTCATAATTGGCTGGCCACATAGTGTGACAGAGGTTACTTAGCTAGAATTTACTCGGTCAAAGGTTATTCGATCAGGAATTATTTGATCGATAAGGAATTATCCAATTAATATTTTGATGTATATCAGCTTGTCGCAGGCCACCAAAAAAAAAGCTGAATCAAGTATTAAGATATGGCAGCAATATTTGAGTTTGTGCGGTATCAAACATAAATAAAGAGTATATATAGATTAATCCTATTATTAGTGCTGAACTGCTCATAAGATAGTGGCGTAGTATATATTCATCATTGCGTTTAACGTATGAATATATGTCGTGATTACTTTTCCGACACAAGTGCTTGTAGGACAAGATTCTAGTAGGAATAAATATAGTTATAGTCAGGAATCTCAACATATGTAAACATAATCTATTTTATTTTGCAAGTAGATTTCCTAAAACGATCTATCGGGTCAATTTTGGATTAAGATCATTATCAAAATTCTAATCAATAACTTCTTTATCAAAATGAACCCAAAATTTTCAGATATACACATACAAGTCTTCATATCATAGGACTTGAACTGTTGAACAAGAGTAATTTAATTTTTGTAAAATAGATTAAAATTAAATTTTTTTGTATAATTAGGTCATATCAAATTACTCATTTCATCAAATTGGGAGTCAAAGATTGTCACAAATCCAAAAATAACGTAGTAAACAAGTAATTCATCCTTTGTTAAAGAAACATAAAAATACAGTCAAATTTAGTGTGTTTTGTTAGTTGAGACGAATTGCTACAAGAGGGAGGGTGAATTGTAGTGAGTTTTTAGTGACTACTTTTTGCGGAATAATAAAACAAAATATAATAGGAACTTGCAATGCACACAGGATTTTACGAGAAAACCTTTCAGGGCCCAACTGCAAGTAAAACCTCGACCCTCCATGATTTCAACCAAACCAATTCACTATAATAGGGCAACACACCTAGTTACAACCTATTACTCACAAACCTTTACTCACAAGTTTCAGACTGAACTTGCTACACAGTAGAACCCTATTCTACCCAACTTAAGTCCCTGACTTAAGTCCACTCGTCACTCCCAAGGTACTCACAACTCAACTTCAACCTTGAAGCCTACAAACTGTATGTAATATGCTAAACACTCACCCAATACCTAAAACAATAAAAACGTTTGACTCTTAATATGTGATTGGAAAGCTACACATGAAATCCGAAACTAATATGACAAAGCTATGAACTTGGGAAACTTACTCTTAAGCACTCTTCAAATTTTCACGCATAAGCTCACAAGTTATTTCAACTATGATCTCTTCTTTATATACAAGAAAATCTCGTATATAAAGTAGGGTTTTCAAAAGATAAAATCTCTAAAACTGTCATTTTATAAAACCAATAATGAAATAAATCTTTTAAGAAAATCTTTTAGAAAAATTAACAAAGATATAATTTAGAAAAAGATTATTATTTTGCAAACTGGATTTTATAAGATAAAATCACTCAAGGTTCTTTTCCTAAATTTAAAACTTATCCTTTTTAAGACTTTCCATACTAATAAAGCTTGCCAAACTTTGCCACGTTTCTAATAGTTTTCAAGCATAAACAAACCAAACATATTTACAGCAATTCTAATAAAAATAAACTTAATAAAAAGACTCTAAGTATAGTGTTGAATTGCCTCCTCAAGCTTCGCATTATATGAATACTTGGGCTCTACGTAGACCATGACTGAGTTCCTGCTGTCTTCAACTGTAATCCTCCGTATTTTTAAATATTTTAGTAATGAAATTTTATTTTATTTATAATATTTATTTGTATTTTTCCAGAATTTAATTTTAAAAGTTTCAAATTCTTAATTGGGTCAAAAATTATTTTATGAACCTATGTCCTACAACCTATTATCATAAAAACAAAGCCGAACCCATTTGTTTATTTAATTGGCCCATTATTTTCATGAGACCCAATTCTACCCTACAATTCTCTCTTATAAATACCCCATGAATCCCCAAATTTCCCCCACACAAAAAGGTTAGTCTTTATTTCTTTTCCCTTTATTTTCTTTATTTTATTTTCCCTTCATTTTTCTTTTTTTTTTTTTCCTTTTTTTTTTCTTCTTTCTTCTTCTCCTCTTTTTCCTTCTTCCTTCCTTCTTATTTTTTCCCTAATCCTTCATTGTTTTGATAATTATTTTTATGATATTGTTAATCGATTTTAATGGTTTAATCATGTGATAATTTATCTTAAATATGAGTTTTATGAATCTTATTATACACTTTAAAATTTCAGAAATTTTGTTCATGAAATTAGGGCTTAAAAATGTTAGTTTTCATATTTTGGGGTTTTAAACCGTGTTCTACAAGTTATTTAATTAAAGCATGATTATATTGTAATTCTACTATGATCATGATGATGTTTAATTCAAAAAAAAAAATCAGTTTTCCGTAATCAACTTTTGATCTCCGTTTTTAATTTTTTTTAATCACGTTTAGATTCTAACTCGTCCGACTTTTACAATAAAATAGTGTTTTTCATGTGTAAACAACGTTTTAATCAAAACTCTCTACCTTTGGTATTGAGTACCACCCTCACGTGGCCAAATTCAGCCTCTAAATATGATTTTCGGGCAGTTTTTGATTTTTAACGAAGGTTTAATGTTTAAAATAAATTTCAAATTATTAAAGTTGTAATCTTGGGTTTAAATTGTATTGATTTCATGTGATTCAAGTCCTTAACTTCATTAAACAAAGGTTGTGGTTATTTTATGATTATAAAGTATGGAACTTTAAAGTTTAATTGCAAGAATAGATTTTCAGATTTTAGGTTATTGTTTTTGAAGCCTCTAAATGCGTTGAATTGGTGAAGTTTTGGGTTTAAAGCCTACTAACTTAATATATAATGTAGGTAGTTTCAAAGATTTCTATAATTTCAAGATTTCTTGTGTAAAATAAATTTTCAGATTTTTTTTATAAAGCTCTAAACTAGCTGTAATTTCATGAATAAGTATGTATTTTAAGGTTTTTATGTGGGAAACATAAAAAACTATATATAAGCTTTTAATTCTAGTAAAAAGGAAGGTTTTAAAGTGTTGTTTAATTGAAATTTGAAGGTTTAAAAATAGTTTGGTATTGCTGTAAATTATATTGCTTGGGTATTGATTGAATTGTTATTGTTTGGTTTAGGAGAGGACTTTGTAGAAGGCGATTTCTGGTTCCTAAAGTGGCCAATCAACTCGTTTACTCAAGGTACGTACAAGGATACGAAAACCTTGACTTTAGGAACATGTTTAAGGACTTGGAAGATTTAGAATCATGTTAGGAAACTTGTGGATTGGTTGGAATTGTATGGTAGTAAGTTTGATTGGTGATTAATGTGATGATTAGTTTTGTTTCATGTATGAGAAATGCGTATTAATTTATCTTGTAAGTATTATTTATGCATTAATTTGCAAGATGAGCTTAGAGGCAAAGGTACGTGAATATGTGGAATGAATTATTTTATTACTCGTTCATAATTATTGAAATGGAATGAGTAAAGGGAGAATTAAAGTCTTATAAGACGAGTTTGGGGATTGAGGTACCTTATGCACTTCAGGTGTTTATACACCGAGGTAGTTGAAGAATTCAATACTAAATATTTTTTGTCACTAATAGATCAAGAATTGAATTGGAAATTTGAATCGTTTGAATGATTGATGTATGGTTGGTGGTATTGTTTTGCATTTGAGTCATCACCAAGTTTAAACTTGTAAATCACGTAAAATGTAAGATGGATGAGAAATAAAACTCTGGATTTATGCACATCTATAGTATTGAAAAAGAGGGGTTGGGGTTCACGGGGTATTAGCTGTGTACTTTTTAGAAGTTGTCTGATCTACGAGTCT